GTAAAGATCAACAAAAGCTTTAATTTGAAGCTACAGTCTGTACTGCTTGTTTTGAATGACATACTTTTTTCTGTAAGGTTCTTATTCTGGCAATGTGCGCTTTTAGAACATCTGTGTAATGACAAATCTTGTAACTTAAATCCTACTTCTGAAAAGTTGCAATTGAAAGTACCACAGAACTTTTATTTTTATTTTTTTAAAAGCTGAACCACATACCCTGTTAGGCTTCCAGGCTATTTTTAGGTAGTTTCTATAAAAAGATATTTAGGAGATAGTAGATGAGGTCTACCCCCTCCCTGACGCATAATGTTCTGCAAGTGTATTCTTAGCAGCATGTTCTGACAGATTACAGCTTTCCAAAGGGAGATGGGAATTGCTTAAGGACAGCTCAGAAGCGTGACTGCACACTTCCCCAGCATGTCTGGAGATGGGGTTATTAATAACTGCCAAGGCCCTTGCCTGCCTCAGCAGCTTGTAGACAGCAAAGGGGAGAGTCGCTCAGTCTGTATTCACTCAGCAGGAAGATTGTTCTTTCTGTTTCCTCTGGAGATACGATGGAGGCACTGCTGCTGAGTTCCAGACCTCTGGGACTTCCTGTCTCTGGAAACCTGGGAAGTTTTGTTTCTAGGTTGCTCTCTTACTGAAGATAAACCATCAACCTGCTCTTACTCCAACAGTCAATTACAAACTTCTCCAGGAAATCTCCAGCTGATCAGATGGTTGAGCTATAGTTAGGCTGCAGATGCTATGTAGTGATGAAGGCAGCACTATGTTGGTTGGCTCTGTTTTAGATGAACAAGTTATAAATCAGAGATATCATCTGCACTGGCGTGGGTTTTGTGTGAGCAGTTGCACACACACACACACAGACAGCCCTTCTGAGAAATGGAAAATTAGGACCTGGCTGTTCCAGCTCTTTTGCTGCAGTGACATATTTAGGAAATTGCTTCTTAGGAAAACCATTCAGGCTAGATCATTGGCAAACTGAATATAATACACATTTATTGTTTTCATAGAAACCACAAGGTTTCAAAATATTCCTAGGAATAAGCATTTGGCTTCCTTTATTTCCTCTTAAACTGGCAAGGTACTGCACAATCATACTTAGAAGTGGACCTGAATTTGTGAAGGGATGGATGTGTTTCATTGCAAAGGTCGTGTCTTAACAATGGGGGATGGGTCTCCACTCCTGAAATGCTGTCTCTTAATTTCTATGAGGATATCCTGTAAATGTAGAAATCAAATTTCTAATGAGACACTGTAGTTTAGTTATGGTCTTAATTCTCAATTTTTCTCAAGTTATGTTGTAGACAGACAGATTTCTATTTTAAGCCAGTCTGTAAACACCCAGAGTAAACATCAAGGCTTATGTCAGTAGGCCCTCCTTATTCTTTAGCATATCTCACACCATCTCATCACTGCTCCATTCTGTTACTGATAAGGAGGAAGCTGCAACTGTAAATAACAGATGACAAGACTACAGTGCCTCAGCAGTCATATGCAGCCTAAATAATTTGTGTTGATTACCATAGTTCAAGGAAACAACACTGTCTCTACTCAAGCAGCCACTTAACGAAAATCAAAAATTATTTGCTACAATGAAGTCTCCTACTCGTAGCATCCCATTTTGATGTTGTAAGTTGGTAAAACGTATAACTGGTGGGGTTTTTTCCTTCTCTCAGTACAGTTTCACCCAGTCCTGCCAGTTCAGATAATTCTGAAATTGTCCAATGACACTTTAAGTTACTGCTAAATGAAAAACACTGCACTTCTGTGTCTTAGTTTCCCCCTTTGTACATGGGCATCATAGCAACTCTTGTGACATTACTCTGGGATTTACTGAGCATTTTTAATATAAAATTTGGATATTACTGTGAATATTCATTCTGCTTCTGTAATACATCCATCTGGTTTTTGCTGTAGAACAGATTTTCTACAATGCTTGGTAAAAATATAGAAATGCTTTTATGCAAAAATAAAGAATCTGGGGTTTGAAAGAGAGCTGTAATTACAGTAAAACTTCCGTAAGATTGCAAAGAGGGCTAGGAGGAGAAAATAAGATTAGTCAGCCACAGGCTCAGCTGGCCTGGATGCACCCACTCAGTGAATAATTCGATGGTAATTCGATGACAGCAGAAGCTGTCACAGGAAGATGGTCAGCAGCTGTATTGAATTGTTCAGGGTGTATTAATTGCCTAATTGCAATTACTTCTTACCTTCCCTGCCTATAGTAGCATTGTACAACCCTAGTAGCATTGTTGGTGAGTAAGGGGGTTGCCTAGCTTTGTTCTTGGAACCACTGTAATCCCAGCAATGGTGTGATAATCACAGATTTGTGGGAGGAGTACTGTGCTCTCCATCCTGGCCTGTGCAGTGGGCCAAGATCAGCCAACAGAACAGGTCACTGCTGCAGGAGGGGATGGTCCTACACCTGCACCATGTTACTCTGCTTCCTGCTGCTTCTCTTGTGCCAGCTCTGATGCCTCAGTGAGCTGGTCAGAAGGGTAACTTAGCCCAAAAAAAAAACCAAACCCCAACAACAACCCCTTATGCCACACTAGACACAATGACAAGAGTGGATCAGGAATACAGGGCAGGGAAAGGCAGCAGGACCTCACTGCTGCCTGCAGCTTCTCCAAAAGGCTGAGGGGCATCCAAAGCTGAGTTAATTAGTCATGGACACTACAGGTACAATTTCACTCCCACTACCTTTTGTTGTCTGGGGCTTGCCAGACCCCCCTGTAAGACTAACCAATTCACCAGTCCAGCATGAGGCTAGACTGAATGGCTGTTTTTCTGCCAAGTTAGTGTACTGCATCAGCTCAGCAGAATGAACAGTGGGGAAAATGCCATGTGGAAGGAAGGAAGGTAGGAGTGAGATGGGAGGGGAAGAAAGAAATCCTCTTTTTAAGAGATTGACTCAGTTGTTTGGTTTAACATAACTTCAAGTACATGGTTTCAAACTACCCCTAATGCAGGGAACTATAGAGTGTCCCTTCCTCACACCCTCAGGCATGAGTTCTTGTCCTTTTTTATGCCTCACCTGTACAGCTGTGTGGCTGCCTGTGGTTCACAGCAGCTCACCGAGGAACCATTTGTGCTTTTGATCAGCTCATCTTAGGTGCGCTCATGGTGTGAGCTGAGGGAACAGCAGTGTGTGGCATAGGAGGAAGGCAGCAGCAATGCAAATAAAAAGTGGTGTGCCCTTGACAAGAAACTACACACACAACAACCACTGTGGAGGCAGGCCTTGCTGGAGTTGGGCTATAGGAATGAATGAATGCCCATTTGAATGGGGACTACAGGTGACAGTCTACAGTTGGTATTCTGGAGTAGCCAGTTTGAATGGCTTTTTCAGCCCAATATGGGTACTCAGGGATCTCTGCAGCAGTCCTTCTGGGAGCTAAAATGGCTTAGGGGAACAATCTAAATCTTTGTAGATATAACAACAGAAATCAATGTTTTTGTTTACTGCCATCTCCTGATCAAGTGAACTTCAAAAGCCCTTTCATAAAAGAAGCCAGAAGGAGAGGTATAATGAAAACTCCCAGGATGTGACAGACCACTTGTTGTGCAACAAAAGATGTCTAAACATAATAAGCCAGATTGACTTGCTGCAGCTTCTGACTGATGCAAGGTTCCTGGTCTACGACTCTTGAAAGGGACCAACTGAATTCAAGACTGATGAGCATTTATTTGAGCCAACTGTGCTTCACTCTGTTGTTGTGTCTCACAGACTTTCAAGGAACTTTTGGCCCGTGTTTTCTTCCATGTATGCCAGTCCTTGAATGGACAATCTTCTGTGAGAAGTGTAAAAGAGAAAAAAAAAGGGGGTGAAGGCAGAAACAAAGAAAGAGAAGTAATTTAGCATGCACTGTAAGAAAATACATAATTTTCCAATTACTTTTGTCTTGAGGGTATGGCCCAGTGAAGATGCTTTGATATCTAAATAAGGGTTGGAGTCAGGGACTCTTACTCCTAGAATTGCCATTGCCAGAGAACTTTACTTTCTACCAGAGTACACAGAAATTATGTCCTGTTTCAAACTGGAAGAAAACACTTGACAGGGAATCCTATGCACATAGGGTTCTTTTCCTGGCTGTGCTGCTGGCCTGCTTAGTAATCTATGGGAAATTAGTTCAATTTTCTGTGCTTTTATTTCCCATAAATAATGATGCACATTCTTTGACGTTACTATTACTATGAAGCTGTAGTAATGTCCTAGTATGCTCATGCAGTAGTTATACTCCAACGTTTACAATATTCCTCTTTCTATTGAAAAGGAAGGAGGTTCACTAATCAGGTGTTATTGAGACAAAGATCACAGAATTGTTAGGGCTGGAAGATCCTATTTCCAACTCTCCTTGCCAAGGCAGGGTCACCAGGAGCAGATGACACAGGAACGTGTCCAGGTGGATTTTCAATGTCTCCAGAGAGGAGACTCCACAACCTCCCCGGGCAGCCTGTTCCAGTGCTCTACCACCCTCTACCTCAAGTTCTTCCTCATGCTGAGATGGAACTTCTTGTGTTTTATTTTATGGCCATTGCTCTTTGTCCAGTTGCCGGGCACCACTGAAAAGTCTGGCTCTATTCTCTTGAAACCCACCCTTGAAATATTTTTATGTATTGATGAGATCCCTTCTCAGCCTTTTCCTCTCTAGACTGAACAGGCCCAGCTCCCTCAGTCTCTCCTCGTTAGAGAGACGTGCCAGACCCCTCATTGCCTTTGTAGCCCTTTGCTGGACTCTATCAGGAGCGCCTTGTCCTTTAGGTGCTGGTGTTCTAAGCTACCCTTGAGGCAGGTTCAGGGAGTCTCACGGCAGCTAACAGTCAGGGCCCGGCAGCCGTTTGGCGCTGACAGCGCACACACAGCCCCTGACGCCGGTTCCATTGCGCCGCACCGGGCGCTGATCCCGCGCGCCGATCCCTTTATCCTACATTTCCCGGCGTCACGCGCGCAGGGCGGTGCCGCAGGAAGCGCGCCGCGGGTCTTTCCGGCCGTGCGCGCGCCCCGAGCCTGCACCGACGAGACAAGATGGCCGGGCTGCCCCGCAGGATCATCAAGGTACGGCCGCGCGCCCGGCCCGCCGCGCGCCGCTCCGCCATGCCCCGCCGGGAGCGCCGGGCGCGCCGGGCCGGGCTGGGCTCCCGCGCTCGGGGCAGCGCTGCGCCGCGCCGGCCGCCGCTTCCGGTGCCCGGGAGCAGGGCCGCGCTAGGGCAGGGCCGCCTCCCCGGCCTCCTCCCGCCCCTGCCGGGCGAGGGGCGCCTCGCTGCCGCCCCGCCCGCGCCCCCGCCGCTTCCCGCCGCCGCCGCTGGGGCCCCCCGCCCGCTGTGTCGGCGTGCGCGGGCGGCGGGAGCGGCCGGGCCCTCCCGGCGGGCGCGGGCCCGCGCCCTTTGCGGCGACCGCCCGGGCGGCGGCGGCGCCTCTCGGCCCCCGGTGCTGCTGGGCGCTGGTATCTGCGCACCCCCCGGGGTCTGGAGCTCGAAAGACACCGGGCACACCCCCTTCCATTCTGCCCGCCCTGCGGCTTCTCACCGGGGCTTCCGCCAGCCCCCGACTTCCCCGCGCTGCTCTCGGCGGGTTTGGGCCGGGGGAGGGCGGCGGTGGCGCCGTGCTTGGCTTCCTCCTGTGCGCTGAGGGACAAGGCACGGCGAGCAGTGAGCCTGGGCCACAGGGACATGGGCACCGGTGGTACACGCTGGGGACAGCCTGGTTACTGCTGCACTTGCTCGGAGCTGTGGGCCCTTACCCATTAACGTGCCGTGCTGGCCTTTCGGTATCATGTTTCCACTTTGATTTGCCCAGCTTTGCAAGGGTTCTTAACTTTGGGGTACTTTCAGCAGATCCTCCGAATTCAGTTCCAGCTTAAGGCATAAGTAATTTGGGGTCACTTATTGGAGATACAGGTAGCTGTCTTGCAAGCTATGAAAACATAGCTCGCTCCTGTAGCTCACGTGGGTGCTCCTGCTGTGCTGCTGTCTCCTACTCGATTTGTAATGGTGCGAAAGCAAGCCCTCGAATGGGTGATCATTCTCTTTACAAAAGTTATTAGACGATTCCAGTAAGGTTTGTTAGCCCTCACAGGAAATGACAGCATCCTCATAACTTGTTACAGTGAGTGGATGTTAGTTTTTAACACTGGGGAGCTCTCTCGGTTGGTAACCATTGTAAATAAATGAATTTATTAAGTGTTAAATAGTGGATAAAAAAATACAGTTATTTCGTCTAAAACTCAAGTTATCAAGTAACTGATAGACATGATGAGGTAAAATAAGGCAGAAGTAGCATTTATCTTCTGTGGAACAGAGCTAAACTACGATTAGTGCTTAGAATTGTAAGTAGTAAAATTAAAGAAGGCCAATCTTAGTGATTTTGACACCTAGCCAGCTGCCTGAGTGCACAGCATGCTAATCTGAATGTATTTCAGGTGTGATAGGGAGCAGTGATTCATAATACAGTGGAACTGGTGTTTATCACAGGGTTGCAGTAAGAGCTCAGTCATGAGGCTGGTGTCTGCGTTAAATTTTCATTGCTCTTGACACCTCCCCAGAATACAGTCGAGAAGTGCACCTACTTCTGCTGGTGCGTAAATTTTTTTCTTGGTACTTTTGTTTTCTTTATGCTTTTCTAGAAAAAAACGCTGGCACAATTTACACAATTCACTTCAAAGATGTGTGGGACTGTTTCTTTGCCTCTTGAAGAAGAAAGATGAAGGGCTAAAAAGAGTCCTAGAAACTCCAGATTTTCTATGAAGGATCCCCCTTAGACATATGATGGGTTGGGTATTTCCATGTGTGCATTGGAGTTGTCTGCAGCCAGCCTAGAGTTATTAAATCTTGGCTTGGTTGTGTTAGATGATCAGCTCTTCAGCTCCTGGGCTGTGTGCGTGCCTTAGGTTGCCACATGTGCCTATGATCTAGGACTTGAGTCTGACTAGTTACTACAGCCTCAAAAATGTGCAAAGTCATATCTGGAAATATCACAGCTGCAGAGGTGCAGTCCCAGAAATATGCCTGCTAAAGTCTTCAGGAGTCTTCAGTGAGGATTGTCATGCCAATTTTGACTTTAATGTTAAATTTCCTATTCTGGATGTCTTAGAGGGAGAGGAGGGAGTGGACTCAGTTGCTAGTGAGAATTTGAAAGATAAGGGAAAGAAATGGAAGAGAGAGATAGGAAATAGCTGAGTAACGGTAAAATCACTGCATTAAAGAAAATTAAATCTTCATGCTACGTGCAGTAGTAAATTTAATGATAATGAAATGGCGTAGATACTTTTAGGAAAAGACCTTTCTCCCTTTTTGCCACATGCCCCCTTTGTGTTGTCATCCAGGAGAGACCATGGATGGCTGCTTGGGGCTAGGAGAGTGTATTTGGGCTGTGATGAAGGCCTGAGCCTGGCTGGCCGCTCCAGAAGCAGTTGGCATTCCCTGTCTTGAGCGACTGCTGGCAGATGGCCGGGCTCAGGTTGACTTGCAGCCCTGTGCTCCTCAGCCTGCGCCTCTGCTCTGCGCAGGCTGTCCTCCAGCCCAGGAGGAGAGAGGAGCTTTCCTTGCAGTGACAAGAGCTCTGTTTATGTTTCCAATACTTTCTTCAAAGTCAATGAAAAGGTGACAGTAGGGGTGTTGTAAAGCAGTTGTTGCAGAAGATACAGAATTATTCCCAATTTGCTGTCCTCAGATTACTTAGAAATGGACTTTAATAAAGCATGTGTGGGAATGGTCTGTAAGTTCAAAAGATTACTTGCTTTAGAATTATGACTGTTAGCATGTTACAGATGGTGAGTAGAAGACTGATGTAGTTTTGAATCTTTGAAGATGTAATCAGAATTGGAAAACCTTGTGTCTTGTGAATAGACAAGAGGTATTTTTGTTTTCTTCAGTAGTTCAACGCCGAGGGTCCTATGAGAATCATCTTGACCAAAAAAACCTATTAATGTAAGATAAAATTAAAATGTGTTATTGGCACATGTCACAGATGTGTGGTTTTTATGCTGTAAACTTCTTTCCAAAAAGTGACTATTTCCAGTATTAAAAGGTGAGCCTTTGCAACAGACAATAAATAAGCCCAGTGACTTTTACTTTCAAGCACTTATTACATTGATTCTTTCCCATGTTGCAAAGTCACGTACCTCCAGTCGAGTAAGGAATTGAATTGCATCTGAATTTTTTTCTTGGCTGACATTCAATCCACCTCGTTGCTGTGTCAAGTGCAGTCAGAGTATGTGAATGGAATGGATAATACTGTCCCATATCATCTTTTAAAGGGCTTTTTTCTCTGCTGTTTTCATTGCTGCAGTGATCTCATCATTCATGATTTGATGCACAGGTCTCTAAGTTGACTGTAGCCAGTTGTTATTAACTCTTCTGTTACAATCAGTGCAGCTGCTCCTAGCATGAAGTAACCATCTGAAGCAGTAGCTGAGGCTACTTCAGATTTTTTTTTTTCCTAATGAATTTATCAGCGTTAAATTACAGAGGCTTTGATTTCCTCCCCTGCACAATACTGTGGTGTTGTCGGAGATATGCATTCCTTGCTATTTACTGTGTGAAGCTATTTCCATTATCTGCAGTGAACTCCTGCTTGCTTTTTATTTTTTGAAACTCTGAGAACATTTGGATTGCTAGCTACAAAATGCTGCTTCAAAATGTAAAATTTCTGGGAGCTTTTATGGAGATTCTCTTGGTGTGTGTGATGCTAGGCTCTTAGAGCATTCTATAGTAGAGGCCAATATAATCAGCCTTATATATTTGAGGTTTTTTTCCTGTATAAATCAGGCATTTAGTCTGCAACTGGAACTTTCTAGAAGTTCTTTAAAAGTGTTACTGGCAGCCAACTTGAAGTTTCTTACTTTTTCTTGAAAGCTTTGGATTTTTGAGGCATGGACTTCTGTCTCCACATGAAAATTTAAGTCACTGCTACTTTTTAATTTCTGTGACATGTCTGACCACTTTTTTATTTCCTGAATAAAAAAAAAAAAAACAAAGACTTGAGGTAAACCTAATACCTTTTTGTGGTGTTTGGTGTTTCTTTGGATGGTGGTTAGGCACAGAAAACATTACTTCTGAAGAATGCTGTTCCTTGACATTTATCAGAGAATGTAATGTCTCTTTGCATCTTGTATGCCATTTGAATCTGGTGTTTAAAATTTGATAGAAGAGTGAAAATTTTGGCAATTTCAGAGGTGTTTTTGTACCTTTCTTAAAACCATTTTCTCCCTGCTCCTGTCTCCCCCTCCTCCCCCCCAGGTGCAGAAAGATGGTACAGGTGCTGTTTTGCAGCCCTCCCCGAGTCTTCTTGCCAGGTGGCCGATGCGGTCCGGGCTGGCTGGGATAGTGGGAGGAGCGTGCAGGCAGGTACTGGGAGCTGCAGCTTGGCAGGACAGGTGCTTTGTGCAGGCAGGGGAGGGAAGCTGAGAAAAAGGCTCACACCCAGAGGATGAGAAAACCTTCCAGTTAGGTCTAGTCTAAAAAGAAAGTGTGGTGTCTTAATAACAGATCTTCCAGAGGACACTGGTAACTTTTCACAGCCTTTTCCTTAAAGAAGATTTCAGTAGACTCTGTAGAATAAAAACTGAGGAAAATCCCAGCAAATAACCCAGACAGAGGCAATAATCCTGTTTGGACCATTTTGAGCAACTTTAAGGCACAAACCTATAGTAAACCAATGGGTTCTTATTGCTTTACATTTGCCTGCAGTTATTTTATACTGTAGTATGTCTGTTAATGTTTAGATGGCTTTCAGAGTATCATCAAAATTTGTTTTGTGTAATAGTACAAAACAAAATCACATTTTTTTAAGTTACTTATGACTGGTGAATTAATAGTGAGAAGCAAGATGCAAATTTTGCATAGATGGTGTGGTGGATTGACCCTGGCTGGACACCACTCTATCCCTCCCCTCATCTGAGCTGGGGAGAGAAAGTACAGCCAAAGGTTCCTGGGTCAGGAGAATCACAGGGAGGGATCATTCACCCATTGCAGTCATGGGCAGAACAGACATGACTTGGGGAAATTAATATCATTTATTACCTATCAAAACCTAGTAGATTAATGAGAAATGAAACC